TAGAGTAGGAATTTTAAAAAGAATACCTTATGATGTGGAATTCAACAAGTATTAATTTTTCGACTGAATAAAAACCGTTCCTATATCCTGTCTAGACCCCCACCCCACCCCTAACGAAATTACTAGACTTGCCTTAATATAGTATGAAAATAGTACGCGACTTCCCTCATGAATAATTACATACTAGTTGCTTGGAAGAAAAAAAAATTCTCAAGTTTATATGAGTCAAAACGATTAAGATTATTTAAAAAGTATAGTTTTTAAAAGAATGTTTGGAAACTGAATTTGACGCACGCGACGTCATTACGTTTTCAGTAAGTAAGGTCAACGTTGTTTTGAAGCGGCCTTACTAAAATGCTCATAAAATACTTATAAAGTGAGATATTTTAAAAATTGATGTATATTTGCATTCAGAAAGAGTCAGACTATCAAAATTTAACAAAAAGTCAATTTGTGAAATTTTGACCTTAAGGGTCCTTTTCTCATGACGGCAGTCAATTAACTTTTGCATGTTTGTTGTTGATCTTTAACAGTAATATATGTGCTTATATTGAGTCTGAGTTATATTTTTTTTCTTATATTTGATTGATTTTTAGATGTTTGTCCTTGATCTTTTTAAATTATATTTGTATATCTATTTTCATAGCAATGAACGTAACTGAGGTAATTTACTTAATTTTCTTTTAAAGATAAAAAGCCCCCCCCCCCCCTTGTTCTCCTTAATATTTACAATATCAAAAGATGTTTTCGATTTTCATTCCAAATGTGCTTTTAGATTAAATAATATTGCTTTTTTTTTACTTAAAGGCTGGTTCTTTTAACGAAGACAATGAATCAATATAAATTTGACCTACATTTGAGATCACCTTGACATGAAAAAGCGTTACAATATTCTATTATTTGAATTTTACAATGTGACAAGGAAATTATTTTGAAGGTAAATGTTTAATGATTACTGCACTATAACCTGCAATTTATAATAAAAAAAAAGGTTGAATACATGTGTATCAAATCATGTGGAGGAATGAATCCTTTTCTACAGGAAAATGAAAGAATAAATACTGTTCAAAACTTTATTCATGGTACGGGTCGTTTCAATAGTACCTATTTGTACATGTATTACCGTACCTCCTTTGAAAATATTATCAACATTATCATCATCGTCATTATAACCATTACCAGTTGATATTCCTTAGCTATGAAAACGATTGTTTTTATTTCTTTATCTACATGCCTGATTAAGATTATTCAGATTTTAAGTATGGGAAGAGGACTTCCCAGGTTTTTGGAACTTTTGTCCAATCCTTCTGACATATTTTCAATGAAATTTGTTCAAAACAAAACAAAACAAGAAAATCACATATTAGATGATCACTTGATATCTACTTACACTGTCATTGAGGGCAAAATATCAAACAATTTATTTCACTGAAGAGCATTAAACATTACAAAGAATATAAGTACTGTATTAATTCTATTATCACCCAGCGCAATTGTTTACGTCAAAGAATTATTAGTTCTCATTATACTTGATATTTGAAGTTTTTTTAAAAATCTTATAGTTCATTTTCAGAAACATCTTTATTTGTTTACAGATATTCAGTTTGAAAATCTAGGAAATACTAAAATAAAAATAAAACGACTTAAAATTGGTCATCATTTATTGAATCATTTACAGTACACCCTCTAGCAATCCCTTTATTAAGAGTTAAAATGACACAGTAGTTTTAAAATTGTTTTTAGAATATGGGCATTCAGAGAGCACCTCGTTTAATCCAAATGTTATCACTTCATTTAGATCAATATTAATGATGTTTTAGTATGACATGGATTGTGTACATAGATTTAACAATTAAACAACCACTAATTTGACTGTAATCAGATGTAAACAATGACACACTTCATTAAACTACCTGCAATTGGCAGATTTATCGTAAAGGCAGGAGTAGTAGATATGCAGCATTGTTTATGGTCTTTATGCTTTGTTGTTATCAAAAAACAGTAATAAATATTAAATAATCCACCCGAAATCATGTTCAAAAACAAGGAATGTTTTCACCAATGAAATTGAAAATGTCTTCAGTAACTACTATTCCAAGACATTCTATTCTTTTTCTGGTCTTAGGAAAGTGTCTTGATCTAGGTCGAAAGTGTTTTGATCTATATCACATTGACATCAGTGTTTGAGATATGACACATTGTTTATTGTTCTAATATTCGTGCATATCATGAAATGTCAACGGATATCAATGAATCTCTTTATAAGTGTATTTTATGATGGAGAAAAAATAATTGATTTCAAGGAAGGTCTCGTCATTATAAAATGCAGGTGTTTATTTTCATTTTTGTAGTAATCCCTAACGGAATGGAAGGACAGATGCAGTGTTTTTTTCCTAAGGGGGTCCAAAACAACTAAAAAAAAATCTAACTTATAATTTTCACAGGCACATAAAAGAATGCAAGACAAAGAAATGAACGAAAACTGTCCAAAAATGAAGTTTCCGTTGACTACTGTAGCGATCTTGCTTTATAAATTATGATGTAGGTCTAATTTTATAACACTTAAGGCAATAACAATTACTTTTTGAATTAATGAAGTCATTCATATTCACATTTTTCTATGTGCCATTTTAGCGACCAGCTAGTTTTGCATTATTAGCGATGAGATCTTGGCAACAATGTGGCTAATTTAATCAATCAGAGATATTCCCATAAATAAAACAAATAGCTAGCCCTAAAATTTCTAAATATCAATTAATAATAAATGCCTATTTTTATGAGAACTTTTATGAGAAAATTGATAAATTGGCAGGCGATAAAATAACCCTTTATACGGTACATTCTTCATGTCTCTATTATGGAGTAATTTTCTTGCATTCTTTTCAAAGAAATCATAGACAATACTACGCTTTTTTTATGATCCAACATCCAAAGTTGTAACAAATTAATTTGACTAACAAATAACTTTGAGTTTGCGAGAAAACTTCATCTGAAAATGTCAGGCAGTATGACGTCATTGTTATAGCCAATTGCTCTTATTCTTTTAATCCGTGTCTGTGGGATAAAATAAAAATTACAAGGCGAAACCAAAAATTCATAATCCCATTCTGCATCCTTCAATAGAAATAAAAGCATCAGATTTTAAAACGTTATCCCACAAATTTACAGATTGACGCATTTTTTGAATAAACATCCCACATCACTTTTTTTGGTCGCTAATCTCTGATAATCGAACAAAATTTGGGGAAAAAAACTTGAATAACACTTATCCAAAGCCCTCAATACACCCCTTTTACTAATCCTTACCCCTATTTGCAAGATTTAATGCTCACCCTTACTCTTGCCCTGTAGCCTAGGGTTAAGGAAAGGGTTATAGTTAAGTTTAGGGTGATGGTTGAAGCCAGGATAGGAGTTATCCGGTCATTACCTAAAAAGCTCAGTTAATAACCAAACTATGAAACGTGCTTCCTTGTTCTTATTTCACGATGAACTGTCAGATGTTTTTATTAACAAAATGTTTGTAGCACCTAGCCCACAGACTGTCCGACCATGACTATCCCTCTCCCCGATCCATACCCCATCCAAAAAAGTGATAAATAGTACAAAAAATAAGGGAAACTTACAATGATTAATAGAACCTTCAGTAGACATATATTAGAAAGAAAAATTATTTGATATAAAATATAATTTTACTGTGAAAATGATTGCACACATTCACCGATTTTACAGAAAATAAAAAAAAAATAATTCTGAACAAGAACCAAGCTCATCGTAAAACATGTTATGTTTAACGACGATCTAATTGAGTGTTAAAATGCCCCTTAATTAAGGTTTAATTTCAGCTGATAGCGCGAGCAGCAAATTTAAATCTTTAACATCTAACAATTAAAGATCGGTCAAGGCATGACCCTATATGATAGATCGTATGTGATACATTCATATCTCTGGCCCCTTCCATCATAAATCTTCCTGTTAAATTTATATTCTTTGGAACTTTGTCAGCTGGAGAATGTTATACATGGAAAATTAGGTAAGTTTTCAATTGCTCAAAATTTGCATATGTGTTATTTTTCCATTTTAGGAAATCATACAAAGTTTGATCCGGGCATTTTCACCCAACCGTATTTAAAATTATCCTTTCTTCATAATGATAATATACATTTTTTGCTTAGGTAATTTTGTACTTATACAAAACTCATGGTTTAAGGTAGCACACTACATTAAAAAATAACATACTGTATGGAAAGCCGTAGGGAAAAATACAGAACACAAACGATTCTTCTTCCCAGTAAGTAATATGTAGGGCGATATCCACTTTGTATTCTGAATGCAGAGAGGAATTGAATTTGAAAATCCATCTACATCTATTGTAAGTCAATATATACTTAGTTCAACATTGCAATTGCACCAAACTTTGCGCTGTTACTTTGTAATTTTAAATGGTACGTATATTTGAAAAAAAAGAAGTCCAAGCTTTGATTATTCAACACCAGAATTTATGTCTCCCAGTTGATTTGATTCACAAGAACATGTGTGCGAACGACCAATTTCTAACCAAACGCAGGCTACTGACAAATAAGTTGATGTAACAAAGGTATCAATCACAATCGAATTAAGTTAAATTTCGAAAATTTTATGGTCATAAAATTGATTATGAAATATACTTGATGCTAACTAATATGTGTTCCTTTTTCGAAAATTTTCTGATTAGACAAACATTATTACAAGTTAATTTGTGCACCAATGACTTCATCATTAAAACTTTGCACCGAGAGGAGTTTCATATTCCTTGAATGTGCATGTAATGTACACTGTCATATATTCTTGATATACGGAACTATATTTATATTGAACATGTTAAATTATTTATAAATTTTGCAGAAGGTGCCCCATGACAAGTATAGGTACATTTTCCGGAGGCTTGTATTAAGCTTTTAAACTTTATCGATCTTGATTCTTAAATGTGATTGCATTTTTTCCAGAGAGGAATCAAATACGTCATGATTAGGAAAAGACATGCTTTGTACTTAATGATGTTGTCCTTATTAGTTGGATTTGTTCTTGGAGTTTTGTACACTTCTTCCTTTTCCGGACTAATTATGACCAGAAAAGATTCATCATTATTACAAGTAAGTCACAAAGGAAAAAGTGATTCCAAATCTACCGAGAATCGTGATGCCACGAGACTAAGCACAATACTGACTAGGCCTGAATTCTGGGGAACTGTTATTACTAGAAGTGACACGGGTTGGCAAAAAATGGAGAAGTTTTGTGATCCATCGGCGAAATTCGTTCGTACCCAACTTCGTGGACCACAACAAACACCAATAAACGTGTATGCGCCACAGGAAGACAAGTGGGTTTCCGGAAATATCATTCGACGAGGAATATGGGAAGGCAAACTTGTTAAGAGAATTCACGATATACTGAAAAATGAACCGAAAGTAGTTTTTCTGGATATTGGTGCAAATGTGGGAGTCTTTTCACTGACTGTTGCCAAACTTGGTCGCTACGTCATAGCAGTTGATGCCCTTGATGGAAATGTCGCCCGTCTGTGTCGCTCCGTCCAGGATGGAAAGTTAGGAAGTCATATGACTATAATTCACAATGCATTGTCAAATCAAAGAGAAAAAGTGGCACTAGGATCTCATAAAAGAAATGTAGGTGGAACATATGTTAAAAGGAAAGAAAAATTATTAATTGATAGAGTAGGTCAAAACAAAATGGTAGTTAATGCTATTCTTTTGGACGACTTGTTAGAAATTTTCAATATTGAAAAGGCAGTCATCAAGATGGATGTTGAGATGTTTGAAGCCAATGTTTTAAAAGGTGCTGAAAAATTCTTTAAAGCTGTGCGGGTTGAGTATCTGCTAATGGAATTTGTGTCTCACAGAGGAAAGGAAAGTGGGGATTTTATAGTGGACTTTCTGAAAAATCATAGTTTAGTTTCTGAATATTCTGATAGTAACCATGCTACGTGGTCTGGCGAAGTTATGTTTAAAAGAGTGCCTTTATGATACCACATGAACACTAATATTATAAAATTCGCATCTGCAACTGAAAGGGGGACAAGGAGGCAAAATAAAAGACAGGGTAAAGAGTTTTGTTACAATTGATTTGGCAATACGAAAAAAAAAATATGGTGTGGAATGGAATATACTTCTGAACAAATTTGTCAATTACTATTTTCAAGCAACCTCTAGTAGAGAAATCTTTTGAATTGATATTTTTTTCTATTTAAGGGGGCCGACTGGGGTTTTCATTGCGCAATACTTCGCGCATCATAGTAAAATAAAGCGTATTTACTATTTTAAAGCAAGTATATTTATATAATTTATTAGAATTAACAAAATTAAGAAATCTCAAGTTAAAAAATCTAATTACGTTTTTAAATTACTGAATTTTTATTCCTTCGACATGCGCTCGGCACTTTGAAGTGAAAGTTGCAGGTCATTCGGATGAGACCTTAAAAACCGAGGCCTCGTGTCACGATTGGCGTTGGCACGATAAAGAACCCTCATTGTTCAATGGCCCTGAGTGCCGAGTAAAGGTCTAAATTTGAAGCCCTTCACCGGTATATGGTGACGTCTCTATATGAGTGAAAAATTCTCGAACGGGACGTAAAACAACATACGATACAACCAAAATAGGTCCAAAAATATATACCAATGCAGGAATCTATTTTTTGTTTTTAATCATCTGTCCTTAACTACTGAATCTAATAATGCAGCATTGCACCATTTGCCTCAACGTCTGTTCCTCCACGGTACCAACGTCATCCGTTTTTGCACTACATTTCAAAATAGATAAACACCCGGACTTTTAAATTAAGTCTGGCAATGAACCATTCCTTCTACTTAGAGAAAGACCCTCGAATTCACCTTGTTTACTGACACAGTAGCGCTAGCAAATTCAAATGTAAAGTCTATTGAGATACAATACTACAAAATGGCCGCCTCTTAGGAAAGGGGCTAACCGTAATTCGTGATTTTCCGTTGGTTGTCGTCAATTCCTTAATGATGTAGTTTACATTCGTATTCAAATTGTAAGTCACAATCAGATAGCCTCCGGAATCAAAACAGCTCCCTCGACTCTTGATAGCAATTGTAGAAATTCGAAATTATGTTCCTCAGACTTTGAAAAAATGTTTCTTTCGTGTTTGTTTCAAGTTGTTAGAATCCAATCTGGCTAAAACTGGTTTAAAATGGACGAAGCTTTAATACTATGACTTGTTCACACGGAGAGTTTAATTCAAATTAAACCTAAGTTACTACAAATTAGATTTGAACCGCGTTCACACGGGGAATTTAATGCGAATTATTTTAATTTACTGCGCATTGAACTACTTCGCATTAGCTCCTTTTGAACGCTAAGCAAATCTTTTTCGAATTAAATTTTGACTCATGTGTAATGGCAAAATAAAGTTACGCGCCATGTGTCGCTGGTCAGATACAGGTACTTATGCTATTTTTGAATGGAAACCAATGGAAAATCATGTACATCGCTAAAATGTGTATAGACAATATGGCTTTACGTCAAATGGATCTGCTCTGCATAATGTGACATGATTTGCAAATGACGTCATAATGGCATGACTGAAAAGCCTTTCTGTGGAAATAAAACTTTAATCCGCATTTAATTACTTAGCATTAGCTGTCGTGTGAACGCAATTTAATTCACATCAGTTAATGCCCTGTTCCCACGGAGAGTTTAATTCGCAGTAAATTAATGCGAAGTAAAACAATGCAAATAAACTAATGCAAATTAAATTGCGGTCACACGACAGCTAATGCAAGTAAATAAACTATTGCGAATTAAAATTTTATTTAAACAGTAAGGCTATTCAGTGAGGCTATTATGACGTCATTTTCAAATCACGTCACCTTATGTGGAACAGATCCATTTGACATTGTCTGCACACATTTCTGTGATTAACATAATTTTCCTTTGTTTTTCATTAAAAAAAAATAGCATAAATACTTATATCTAACTACCGACAAATGGCATGTAACTTTAATTTGTCATTACGCATGCGTCAAAATTTAATTCGAATTAGCTTCGCTTAGCGTTCACACGGTGCTAATGTGAAGTAATTTAATGTGCAGTAAACTAATTGGAATTAAAATAATTCGCATTAAATTCTCTGCGTGAACTCGGTTGAAATTTAATTCGCAGTAATTCACGTTTAATTCGAATTAAACTCTCCGTGTAAAAAAGGGCATAAGTTCGCAATATTTTACTTCGCATTGATTTACTGCGAATTAAACCCTCCGTGTGAACAGGGCATTAAATGATGTTTTCTTTGAAAATAAGTCATTTTATTGATATCTTTTAAAATATAGCGGAGGCGCTCGTAATTAAACAAAAAAGTAGATTTTTGAACTTAAGTCTTGTAATATAGAAATTTTGATTGAAAATATGTGCATAAAACGCAGTTGCGACCTTTTACTCATATTCGAAAATTAATCATATGTTTATAAGTAAGACCATCTTTAAATTTCCCATTTGTCTGTTTACCCTCTCCCGCCCAACTTACTAAAAATGCACCGACTTAAACCTTTTCCCTAACCCCAAGAAACGATTATGTTTATGCATTCCTGTATTTCTCATCCCGTATACACCTAATTAATTTTATATTCAGGAGTTTTTTTTTTTCCCTTACATTTTTATCATTGGACGGGAGAGGGAAATCAAATATTGTTTTGAAGATTTTGAAGCCCTAACTGTTGTTTTATTTCTTAAAAAAAATACACCGGACATACAAGCACGATCGAGGCTGACATGATATCAAGTTATTGGAGACATTTTTCGTTCTGCGTTGAATTTCCTCGACATCACTCACGATATTGTTAAGTTAGAATTGTGTTCTGCATTTGTAATTAAGTTTTGGATGAAAATAATTTAGTTAATATCAGACGTAACCTATATTCGACCTCGATTTAGAACCCTAGTATTTTGATTCTTACTTTGTAAAAAACAAGTAATCAGGCCAGGAATGATTTGTAAATACTCTAGACTGAATGATCGGAATTATCAACTTACAGATTCAGATGATGAAAAATTTCTCCTGTAGGTGACCGCGATTCCATTCATGTTCATAAGATAACTATCACGACAGATCTTAAGAACTGTCTAAGTTCTAAGACCGTTCACGTAGCTCAGTCAGTAGAGCGCTCGCTCCGTGATCGGGAGGTCGTGAGCTCGAATCTCGGCCGCGACTGATCTAAGTCGATAAAAAATGGGTAGCAACTGTTCCTTCGCCAAGCGCTAGGCACTTTGAAGTGAAAGTTGCGGGTCCTTCGGATGAGACCTTAAAAACTGAGGCCCCGTGTATCGGCAGGCGTTGGCACGATAAAGATCTCTCACTGCTCACTGAGTGCCGAGTAAAGGACAAAATTTGTAGAAAGTGTTTTTTTAATGAATGTGACCATTGCTTCCTCTCATTTATAAGGATATGAATAACCACTGGATAGTGCTGACCGCACGGATGTTTCTGATTTGGGGCAAAGAAAAATAATCGAAAGCAATGTTGAATGAAATATTCGTAACTTGATAATCAGAACTATGTATTAGATAATCGACTTTGTAGTGTAATTATCTATTAATCATCCCCCTTTATTCAATGAAAAAGCGTGTTTTTAAAGAACAACTTAATCTACAAACATTGTAAATTTTCTTCTGTTTTAGCTTTCAGAACTCTTGTTCAATCCAGTTGTACATGTACTTGTTTACAATAAGATTTTTTCATACCAATTATGCTCAAATACATCTATAAAACACCATCCTGTGCTTCCGTGAGAACGTTGATAAATACTTTGGAATAAATTCAAAACATATGCAAAAAAGAATGCGTTCGTTGTTTTGCTATCAATAAAAATAGCATAAATAGAAAATTACTTATATATATATATATATATATATATATATATATATATATATATATATATATATATATTGCACTTAGGTGCACAGAACCAGTTATCATTGTTATTTGTGTCGTCATGTCCATGGCCAACGTAATTGTTGCTTAATGAAACACCAAACATGTATATTGCATTGCCTCTTTCATAAATTACAAAGTCAGATACGAAAATCATCTGTGTAAAATTAATTGTAGTTGAAAGTGAAGTATTTTTTAACACACAAACTATCTGGGCAATCCTCCATTTGTACTATAGAAACGGATTCATTTCACACAAATAGGGATATGCAGCTGAAGATACTTTATCAAACCATTGGAACCCTCTGTCTGCTCTGGCTCTCTTGCGCGGCTGATCAAGGTCACATTTTGGTTCCCTATTGTTCCAGAAGTTGAAAGTTATCTCAGTATCGTCTTCAAAAACCCAGATGCAACTTGTATTAAACAGCTTTCCTTGAAGCCAAACGTCCAAAGTGAGATCGCCGTAAAACTCTGTGTTGGTTTTTGGGAAAATAAAAGAAAAATGGAAAAGATATACAAATAAATAACAGTAACAACAAAAATATCAGGAATGAAACACATTATCTCAAGCAATGGACAATGCCTTTGTTAATCATGGACATTTGTGAACATTTTAAATACTTATCATATTCAGTATTTGTTTTGAAATATTGACTCATTCTGATCCGATTATTTTGATTTTGCTACATATGTACAGGTATATGAAAATATAAGACCAATACAATAAAAAGAACGCAATATCGTTACTGAGAGTAGATTAATAACAATGTGTTTATCTAATTATGCATTCAATTGTTGTTGATTAGTTGAGTATCGTTTAAAGCTTTGAAAATATCTTTTCTGAGGTTTCAACATATATAAAGAAGGTGATATTACATGTACATGTAGTTCCTATCAGTTGGATTGTTTAATATCTGATTTATCAAAATATCGAGAGAAAAAAATTCTTACCAATATATTTCAAGATGAATTCATTTTTGCTCTGAGAGTTAATTTTGATGAGGTCACCCCCTTCTGATCGACAATCCGATAGAGCTGAGCTATAATTGACAGTGGTGATTTCATACCGCAAACAAGCCACCTCGGAGCCATTGAAAAACAACTTGTAATTCTCAATGCATGGCTCTGCAAAAACATCAAAAAAGAAATTATCTTTAGTAAATTCTGCAATTAAAATGATATAGTCAGGCTTTTCATTTGCTAATATTTTTTCATGTGATAAGATGCAAAACATTTTCATAGGACTGATGAAAAATTAAGATATGATTAAAACGATAGGAAATGCTTACTCTTGCACAACCCCTATCCAAGCTCTAATAATGGTAGAGGTCCGTATTTGGTCTGTTGACAATTAATAATATAATTTGGACTTTTGAGCATGATTGCCCTTTTTCTTCATATCTCTCTTAATAGGAAATCTGTTGAAAATGGTATTTAAAAAAAACAAATAGGTTTTCATTTTTTGCTTAAGTTATAAATATTGGATAGTTTAATTGATTGATTGGACGTTATTTTGCATACCGTTCGAGTATTTTTCACTCATAAAGAGACGTCACCATGTACCGGTGAAGGGCCTCGGTTTTTAAGGTCTCATTCGAAAGACCCGCAACTTTCACTTCAGGAACAATTGCTACCTATTTTTTTATTGACTTAGGTCAGTCGAGACTATGATTCTAAAATACGTCCTTCCGATCACGGAGCGAGCGCTCTACCGACAGAGCAACCTTGACGGTTAATAAAAATTGGATGCATGGAATGGAATCTAATTTTTGAAAGATGCAATTATCAAATTCTTTTAACTAAATAAAAGACTGTGATTTTTTTTTTTCTAATATTCAATTTTTTCTCTTTATTTTTCTTTGAACATATTTCATTATGTAACAATTTAATTCTGGTTATAACATTCTGGATCAAAAATTACTTTATATCGTAGAAATTGGGTTGCCTACGTCAAAAACGTGTCGATCCACCTGACGTTACATTCAAATTTTGTACTATTTATAGTTATTTTTAAGGGCAATCATTTTTTCTAACACAATAAAAATTAAATTATAATTAATGATATTAATAGCTACCCAATTTATACGGTATAAATTGGATAGCTATAAAATTCATTCCTTAAATAAAACATAAATGGATTGGGCAGCAGGCAGTGCCTATATAAGCCCTCGCCACAGTAATAAAGTTCATTTAGATTATACATATGATAATACTACATACAGTTAATATACATATCATAAATAAGTTTTGGTTCAAATAAAGGTGATAGGAAATTGAGCAGAAAAAAGAAGGGAAACACGAATGATTACCGGTTTTTATAAGAAAAAAAATGAAGGATTTTTTTAAATGTAACTTTAAACTCTAGATCATTTGATGAATGTTCAAAGCTTTGTCTAAAAATCTCAAATGTTTTCGTCTTCCAAGGTCCAAATAAATACAAGCTGAGCTAAGTATGTTTTGAAGGACAAAGCCTCGAACTGTTAACAAGCTATTGCTTATTTATAACTAAATCAATATTTTATATTTGAAGTTTTGGTATTCTCTCGAAACACGAAGTCAAGCTATAAAAACATTTGCAATTAGTAGATTTTTATTATGTAACTTCAAAAACTACATTGTTTGATGAATACCCAAAGCTTTGTCTTTAAATCTGAAACATTTTTGTCTTCCAAGACCCAAATTTATACAATTTTAGTTCAGCACAGGGGAGAAATGCTAATTGCTTATCTCTTCGCTTACAGTTGTATATACTGCAGACTACTTTAATACGTTTATTCACTATGAGCCTTTGATGCTGTACTATCCCCGAGGCATATCTGGTCTGATTATATCCATAAATTTTAAACAATCAATGATTACAAGGTAGGGTTTTTACCTCATGCACTTTTACACAAAGCACATTTATGGAAAGTACAAATAAATGCAAACACTTATTACATCTATAAGGATAACATGTAATTTACACAATCAAAATACATGTTAAAAGGGCTAGAACTACAAACCATCGATATGTGCCTCATCCCAAAAATAAATTGATAAGGTTTTCCTAATGACAGTGTAGACTTTAAGCTTTTAATTACCGTTTTCTTTTTTTTTTTCTTTTTTTTTCTGAGATATCTTTTATGCTTTTTCATAGAAAACTGTATCGAATGGCATTGTTTTGATTTACCAGAGGAACACTATTTTTAATTTGTACATGTAACGTAATGTCGTCACCTTACATTGTAATGTCGTAAAATACTATTGCAATTATATAAACACATTTATGAGCCATTCTCTGTAATAACTTTTATACAGGACCTGTGGTACACATAGTCTCAGAATTTCTCGAAATCCCTCTACCAAAAAGTCTTTGATACCTTTAACTCAAATCAGGAAAAAAATAGTTCCTATGTTTCCTGTCAACATGCCTTTAAGTGAAAAAAGTGCATTTTTCAACATGTTCCGAGTCCCGTAGTTAACGTTTGCAGCAATGCAGACAAATGGCATTGACTCTTTCCAAAAGTTAACACTATGTCTTAATGCATGATAACCATAATTTGGAAATCCATTATTATACTTAACCATGGAGACACAGTAATCAAAAGTAACAATTTCTTTCATTTTCTTTATATACTCATATACATGTACTAAGAAAATAGGTTGAAATGCAACAAAACAACAGAGAGAAAGATTCTTGCAGAAGTGTGATATTTCTTATCAATTGTAGTGTTTCTAATTCCGCAAAGGGATTTTGCTCGTACCCTCTGTACTTTTTAATTTGTTTCTATCTTTTTAATGAACACATTTCTATATAAGTGGTGATCAATTTTAAAGCATATAAGTTGTCCTCATTTCCACAATTAAAAAATCTAATTTAATTCTTAAAATAGAACATTGCTATTACATTTTGTTTTCTTGGATACGTAGGCAATACCCTTGTTTCTGGATCCCCAAAATTCCTTTTATTGATTGCTTGATGCATGAAACTTTCACAAAGGGTTAATATTGCTAAAAGTTATCAAAATTGAACATCTCCTCTTCTTAGTAACCATAGCTATAAGTTTTATTTTCTTCATCAAACTTTCTAAAAATATTATATTAAACTTTAGTTCTACCAGAACAGTTCAATTCAAAATGAGTCAAATAAAATGTTTCTTAATTGAAAGTTTTGAAGTTATTTTTTCTGTCTTGATTTGGGAAATTTCTTCCTAAAGCAAGAAAAACTTATCACATAAAATCACTTATACGCTGTTTCCATGCTTGCACCCCCATGAAGCAATTAATATTAATTTTTCTGATTTTTTTGCAGTAGCCTAGTGGTAGGCTGCTCGCTTCGTGATCTTGATGCCATCTTAATGATGAAATAGACAAGTATCTTATCAGCATCATGATCAGGTTACCAATATATCATAAAAAGCAGATATATGTTGGTGTTGATTTCAAATTGAAGTTAAGTCGATAACTGCGCCAGAGGGTAAGATTGCATTATATTCTAGACCTATATCACATAAAAGTAATCTGTGTCTCCAATGTTGGTTAGCCTTCAACAGTATCTAAATATTTCTGTTCACACGACCGCTGCAATATTTCTAGTCATGTAATTAAGTATCTTGTACTACAGACTTGTGACGCAAAATACCCTTTTCTCTCAAAAAATAAAGTCTGGAGAGCATTATATGACTAAATAGGAAAGCGACTGCAAAAACGATATTGACTATAAAATTTGACATCTATTGCGTTATTGCCAGAACCTTTTCGTATCGGAAATCTAAGTCTGTCAAATATCTATTTTTATACATAAAACAAAAACAAACAAACAAACAAAAACAAACAAACAAACAAACATACAAACAACCCCCTCCCCACTTTTTTACATTTAGGTCACATCAACATGGTGTAATGCTAACCATGTATTAAATGAATCAAAAGCTTCGGTTTCCTACAGACGACAGAATCTCTCCACAGCTGCTAGCGGTAATTACATTATCGTGTATGCAGACATATTAAGACATCAAAAGTCAATAAGCCTTATATGAAAGTTTGGCTGGATTCCGACATATTCTCATGATTTTCAATCGATGCTGAATTCTGGAATCAAATTAAGTTTTTCAATTATGTGCTGTAAGAGAAATAATCAAATGTTTTCATAGTCCAGAAATCCAGATTCAAAAAATATCAGCTCAAGGAAATTGAATAAAGGCGCCTTTTTTAGCCTATTTTGTTTTACATGAAACAACAGAGTATTATGTGTTTATTCACATCTTCATAATTATAATAATTTTATCATTAAACTTTTTTTTTAAAATTTACATTCAATTGTTTATTCCATATGTTCCATTCCCTAATTAAAAGACACCATAGAGTATGACATGTGTTTCATATTGGGATGTTGTACTAGAGAAAGATGGAAAATTAACAACACTTTATCATAAACTAGATTACTTCAATTTTTGATACCTTAGCTTTGTTTACCTTTATTTAGCATTTTACATAGCTGGATATTTCCAAGGACACTTTCTGGTCTGCTTGATTTTATTTTATTTTTTTTTATTATACAACAGGAATTTTGAGCATGCTTACTGTCCGACATCTCATCTATTAAAATGAGATAATTACAAAAGAAGGTAGATTACTTCTATTCTTCACATTTCAGTGCTTGAGAGCAGGCTTGATTTATACTTTCTTGAGGGGTTAAAATATATTAGTATTATCATATAAAAGTTATGTAATTCGTTCTTTTCTTTTCAAATAATAAAAAAAAAACAGCTAAGTTTGAAAGTTATGACGAGCCGCATATATAGGGACATTTAGTTCGTCATTTATTTTTTTTTTACTGTTGATCAGGGTGGTTTTACTAAAATAAACCCAGTTGTTTACAAACTATTCCTGTGAAGGTATTTTCAAATGGTTTAAGGACAGTCCACGTGTTCTTCAAAAATATATTTTCCCCCACGAATTTGTGATTGGTGTATTTGCTCACAAAAAAGTAAGGTACATAACCAGACATTTGTTCAAGATATCAGAGGGTGGTGTTTACTATATAATCTTTCTGAAAATCACTCGAATTTCCATTTTTTTTTTTTTCAAAATTGTGTATAATTTTTTAAAGACATTTTGATCACGATATAAAATAAAATAATAAGAAATAAAGAGACAAAAGAGATTCAAAAACAAACATTCGAAGAAATATATCGTCAGATCGTACTTGAAAACATTAAGTTTGTTTGATTAAGTAATAAATCAATGAATTGAAATTCATTGATTATATCTCTGAGAAGAGACAAAGAATATTTTAATAGATTTCGAAAATAAGAAATAGAAGTTGAATTCTCAAAATTCATTACGTCAACAAATTCATTTTTGTGATTTTTCCGAATAGGAAAATAATTTACTACTAGATATTTTGAATTGACATTCAAAATCAATATTCTTGTGAATTTCGAAGATTTAATTATGTGAAATATTTTAATTCATTAATCATTTATCATTTATATAACTAATTGAAGTTTAATAGCTATATAAATCCTAAGAAAACCTCTTTTTTTATTCTCAAAAATAAAGAAATGAAAAGAATGATGTATTGGGTGAATTAAGTCTATTAAATTTCTTTTTCTTAAAGAATTCTACTCTCATCGCTTCAAAAAACATTTTCTAAATTATTTCAAATTTTTAAAATAATTTTCAACTGAATATTTCAATGGTGGTTGATGAACATCAGCATGTTTAAGACTTATAAAGCTGTTCTACCTGGTAAAGGTGTATAACCTATAATACTGCTTCCAGAACTATTTGTCAGGTTCATCGTAATACCAGGAAACGCACATCCACAGCAAATGCATGTCTTATTTTCCTTTCTCCAGATTCGAGGACCAGGATATTTACATGTAGACATACATTCCAGTACGCAATGCTGAACCGAGAAAGCTGGAAAACCTTCCGAACACTCGGTAAATTTTTTTTCTTTTGATGTAATGAAAGTCTGTTCCCTTATCATGCCCGCTATAGTTTTGATGCATATACAAAGTACCAGAAGAAACTCCATTACTGTAATTACAGGGGAGGACATCAAGTGTCGCAGCTTCATCTGCCGTTTCTATATTGAAAATCTTCGCGTAAATCAATTCATGTCTAACATTAATTAGAGTCGATATGTACGAGGGATATCAGTAGAAACTGATATTTTATCGACCCTTTCTTTCAACATAATTTCGCTAATAAGAAAAAATAATTAAAGTCTTTGATTTTTACCTAAGAGAGACAGAGAGAGTGAGAAAGCAATTCTTTGTCTTTAGAAGAACGCATTTTGATTTATCTTTGAATCTGATGCATGTAATTGCTTTTAATTGATAGTCTATGAAATATAAATGTACCCTTTTTCTAGCCTTGTAAAACATCTTTTTGTACATTACGAATCATTAAGCATCGTTTTGTATAACGTATGATTCTTACCTTGGCTTAGGTTTGTCATTGACTATTTGTAGCCCAAAGCATTTCGTCCCTGAAATTCAATTTTTTATTGCAAAATGTTCATTCAGCATTTTGTACAAAAATATACAATACAAACAAAAATTATCTGCATCTTCCAGTGGTATCTGCATACATGTCTTCATTTTCTTTACTTTTTGCATAAACTATGATTTTGTCATAATTTTTTATGCATTTTTTGGATTAATAATATCAGGTTAATGGAGGTTGCACGTATAGTTCTTGAAGAATTGGAATACTAGTATTATAAATGTTGTACAAATTTCTACCGGTCTTATTGATGAAAAGCGTATATATTTATGAGTTTCAAAAACATTCAAGGTTATTAATGCTTATATCTTTATTCCTGGAAAGCTGCCTTAAAAGCGACTTTTTCTAATGAGATGAATTTTAATAAAGACATTCTGAATACACTGAAGACTCGATCATTTAATTAGCAAGAAGATTAAAAGAGGCCTTTTTAAATCTACATTTATCGATCTTTTATGTATTTGAATCTGAACATAATTAGTGAGATTTTCACTAAGAAGTGTTAGATGCTTGAACTTCTAGTACTCAGGTTTACCATTCAGTTTTTGTCAATGTAATTAATTCTTGGTTCATCAAGAGTCAAGTTAATATATTGTTCAACCTATCGTAAAAAAAAAATTATACTCCTTCCTTAATTGGAAATCAATCAATATCTTGGAAATGAAAATCTTGTAATAAAGATTTTACCTGCGAAAGAGAATTTAGACACTATTTTTAATTGAAAATGATTATTTTCAACGAAGGTACTGTCCAAATTAAGCTATCATTTTAAAAACTTTTTTTTTCTAACAGAAAATTATTTTTAAACATCTTTTTCCTCAAAGGCTAGCAAATATTTAAAGGAGGGAATTCAAAGTTGAAAAAAGAATTTTTAAATAGGAAGAAAAAAAAAAACCACGAGAGGTTGCTTTAGCAATCTGTGTGATATCATTCAGCTGTAGATGATTTATTTACTGACTGATTTCTTTTATAGAATTTCTGATTATGTATATGTATTCTCTTTCATAACTCATAAATGTTTAGGCTGTAAAACAAACTTTTTATTGATCAAAATGTAAAAACAATACCTTAATTATAAAGAAACATAAAAATAATAATGTTAACGCACAATTACTATCAGATAAACAACCAAATAAGTAATTACCATGCAATCAACACGTATAAATAATCTAAAGCAGACAGGAAACAAGACAATTATTGGAATTGAAATTAAATAAGGAATTACTCATAAGTAAATGTTTCTGTATGAACTTTACCCCCCCCCCTCCTCTCTCTTTGGGCAACAAAGATCATCCAAGTTACACTGGTCCTGTTTTTCTTGAGAAGAGTCTTGAGAGTTTTTCCTCTAGATCTATATTTTCATGCAATCGCCTGCAAATTCATATAATAATCATGCCCCAGTAGTTCTTGAGACTTTTATTTAGAACAATGTTTCTTATTTCTTTAAGCAAAATATTTATAGCCCCTTCTTAGGAGACTAATGATTCAAATCTGCACTTCCTGGGGATGCTTGCGTATGAATATGTATAATCATAATCCTGCTGTTTCTGAAAGGAAGATTTGTAAAGCTTTTTTCTTTAATATTTCCATGTAAAACTTCGAACCCCTGTTGTGGCCAATTTTAACCTCCCCCCAGCCCCCTCTCTCCCCCGTCATCATTGTACAAATGCCGCATCCAAGTGAATCTGTGCCCAAGCAGGGTTGCATTTAAAATGACTTATCATGACTATGCCGTTCTTGAAAAAAAGATTTTTAATGTTTTTTTTTTTTTTCTTTAAAGATTTCTCTTGAAAGACTAAGATCATCTATTTGGGTCTCATCCTATCTTTGGGGGCTATGATTTAAACAAAATTTAATTGATAATATCCAAGACTGCCTACATATCAGTATATTTAATCATGGCCCTGCTGTTTATCAGAGGTTTTTTAATTTTTTCCCTATAGGTCCCTAGATAAAACTTTAATTTCTTATTGTTGTGTCACCCCTACCCCTGGGTTCAATGACTGGAACAAACTTAATTATCTGAGAATGGTTGAATATTAAGATCAGTGCCCTGATGTGCATAAGAATACTGCTTAATATTTTTCCCATTCGATTTCCATGTAAAGTATTATTAATTTATTGAGATATCATCCTATCCCCTGGTTATGATATGAAAAAAAAAACTTTAAAATGCAACTTCTCAAAATGCTTGCATATTGATATCAATAATCACGACCCTGCTGTTCTTCAGAAGAAGATTTTTAACGATGTTTTTCTATTTACACCTATGTAGGGATTGGATGAATCTGTACCATCTCATTCATCATAGCCCAGTTCTTGAAAAATAGATCTTTAAACATTTTTTTCGATATATGCCTATGTAAAAATTGGATCCCCTATTCTGTCCCCACCCTAACCCCAGGGCCATGATTTTTGAACAAACTTGAATCTACCATACCTAGGGATGTTTGCATATTAATTTGACTGATCATTGCCCTGTTGTTCTTGAGAAGAAGATTTGAAAAAAAAAAAAAAAAAAAAAAAAAAAACAAGAGGCCCAAGAGCCTTAACGGTCACCTGAGTACAACAATTTAGAGGATCTATAAACTGATAAATGAAGCTTTGTTGCAAAAAAGCAAGAAAAGTAGTACGATCACGATCAACAAAATAATTGTTCTAGTATTTATCTATCTGTCCCCCATTTCTCACTTTTACCATGCAGACTTTTAACAAAATGTCAAAATACCTCTCACATTGACCTCAATTGACCTTTGAAGAACATTTTAAAAAATATGTTATTTTTGTTTCATTTTTATTCATGTATTATTTCCAAGTCTACCTGATTATTTAGACTAAGAAGGTACTTTTTGTATTATATATAGGGATGTCAATTTTATTCGGAGAGCTTAGTCGAATAGTCGGAGGCTTTAGTCGAACGATAGACAAATATTCGTTGAAATTTGAATCAATTTTTCATGTCATTTTCACTACTAGTCTTTTATAGACTATTTGTACAATATTTAACCTACGCTATCACCATTATACAGCGAATTTATGAATCATAAACATTTACGTAGTACAATGAATACTGTACATCTACATTTATCCAATGCATTTGATTTCAAAATTAATATAGTATTTAATGCACATTTTATATAAATGCAGGATATCAAACGCTTGCATTTGTCCTTTCTTTTCATAACGATAGTACATGCATCCATTAATTGAAGCCATTTCTACGTGCCGTGTCAGTGACCTTTGACTGGTAAACAATTAAAGCGTGCCTCTTCTAAAAACAGAGAGATATTGCAATAAATTTTAATAATGAGATTTTGTGCAAATAATTAATACAGTAAGAAACACCATTTAATTACGCTCATAACTGTCCCCCAATTTACATGTATTTACAATTTTGTAACAGCTGTTTAATTATTCTTTATGAATAGTTGCATTACGTCAGATCTTATGGAATTGGAGGTTGAAACTTTATAATTTGAATCTACAAAACCAAACAATTCTTGAACGTCCTCTCCATCAATAAGTGGTAGACAATCCTTGATAATCATGTTTGTGATAGCAACATCTGCTTTTTTTTTTGGGGGGGGGGGGGGCATTTTGAGGAGAACTTACTTAAGAAAAGTTTCACTTGAAGACTGTGTTTACTACATGTACATTTGACGGATTCGGCATATGATACATCACATTTAATGTTCCACTACGAATACAAGTTCAATTTCACATAACCTTGAAAACGTACTTTTAACTGTTTTTCCTTCCTGAAATCTTTTAAAGTATCCCAAAACTGTAGATTTGGAGGCATATTTTTTTATAACATAAATCGACATACAAATAATTTCCTTTGAACAGTGAAACCATACCCTGAGTTTTACTTACGAGAAGATTGATCTGTATATAAATGAAATGGGCGAATCCTTTTTATTACCTTGAATTTAAAATTACTCTCAGATAACACATTTTTTAAAGAATAACCGACTAAAGAAATTTTAGTCGATAGTCGGTATGATCGAACGATAGTCGAGTACTCGAATATTCGTTGACATACCTTATTATATAATAAATGTTCTTGCATAATTCTCTTATTCTATTAACCTTTCAAATACATTATCTACAGTGATTAATTATCAAAGGTGAATGGCAAAGGGGAATAACTTCACTCAGTAGAATATAAATTAATAGAAACCCTGGCCAGGACCAGAACACTTGACTAAATGGTCCACATGTTCAAAATTCTAGTAAAAATACCCTTGCTTATTAAAACGTTTTACTCTGTTTGCCTCCAATATGCCAAGGAGCAGAGAAGATCTTCAAAGAAATAATGCATTTTCACTATTTAACACAGCCCTACCCTAATACCAGAACCCATAGCCCAGGCTCATGAAATTTACAAATTTGGAAGAGGTACCCTCATCGCCATAACTATGCAATTATATGTAGTTGAAGATTTTCAAAGAATTCACCCATTTTCACTATA